GGGGGGGGTCTCGACTGCAAAAGACGTACAATCGTTTACCGATAGAGTTGTACTGAGTGGGAATGTACAGATACGTACAAGACATGGTGGCACGGGGTGATGCGTGCGAGTGATACCAAATACTTGACCATAGCACCAGAACAGTTGGTATAGCTCTTGGCATTTCCGGAGAATGTTTGGGAAGAAGTGACCATGGATTTCATAGAAAGATTGCCACGATCATAAAGGTTTATGATGATCTTGGTGGTAGTGAAACCCTTAAACAAGTATGTAAATTTCATTCCATTACAACACCCCTACATAGCAGACTTAGTCGCCACAATGTTCATATGAGAGGTGGTCCATTTGCACGGAGTGCCATAATCAATTGTATCAGACAGGGACAAGGTGTTCATTGACCGGTTATAGAAGTTGTTTAGGTTAAGAGAAATAGTCCTCAAGAGAAACACAATATATAATCCTTAGACTGATGGCAAAGCAGAGGTGGCCAATAGGACATACCTGCATTGTTTTATTTCAGATAGGTCGAAGCTTTGGGTAAAGTAACTTGTGTGGGTCGAATACTGGTATAATATTTTGTACCATACGACAACACAAATCAATCTTTTCAAGATTTTGTATGGACGGGACCCATCTCATCTAATATACTAAGGGCATAGTGCTACACCAATATCTAGTGTAGAGTAGTACTTGGAGGAGAGCGACAATATATTGGCGGAGCTCAAGGGGCATTTACTAAGAGCTCAACAGATCATGAAGAGTAACGCAGATGGACATAGGAGAGAGGTGCAGTTTGAACCAGAAGACGTGATTTACTTAAAGCTGAGACCCTTATAAGATGTTGGTTAGATGGAGAAGCGAGAAACTTTCACCATGCTATTTTGGACCTTACGAAGTGATGCCACACATAGGAGAAAATGCCTACTGTTTGAGTTTACCGCTATCATCTACACTACATCCAGTCTTCCATGTTTCACAACAAAGATGAGCGATCAGAGATCATACAGTCTCATCGTCACTATCCCCGAGTATGATAGAGGCCTTGGAGGTGATTCTAGAGCCTTTAAAGGTTGAAGGAGTGCGCCAAGGAGGGGCAGGAGCACTAGAGGTACTTATTAAGTGGAAGGGTCTACCAGAATACCAAACAACACGAGAAATGTAAGAGGCGATTCGAAAACAATTACCATCATTTCACTTTGAGGACAAGGTGCTTCTCTGGGCGGGGAGAATTGCTACGATCGGTCAGAAAACGGTCGAGGCAACGATAAGGAATCAACCAACCAACCCATCCTAACCCTCTAAGGGTTGAGCGACGAAGCAAGGCGGGTAGAACATAGCAGTAATGATCGGCTCAGCGAGGAGCAAGTCAACGAAGCAAATCAGGCGAGTCAAACGCAGTAGGGAGGAGTTGTTCGTCGGGGAACGGGGCAGCGAGGTCGAGCAAACTAGGCAGGTCGACATCAGACAGGTGCAATTTCGTAAGGAAAAACTTTTTATCCGGACTCCAGACGTAGCTCTACGTGCGGACTCCCACTAACATACTGTCATGGGTGCTATATCAAGCCCCCCTAAGAAAATAAACTGCATACTTCAATAACCCCCACAATAACCCGAGAATAACTTTTATGGTGTTATTTTGGGTTATTGAAGTGGAATATATGTGTTTCTCTTCAATAGCCCAAAAATAAACTTTGTGATGTTATTTTGGGTTATTGAAGTGGAATATATGAGTTTCTCTTCGATAACCCCAAAATAACTCAGAAATAACTTAGAAACAACATTCGCGGTATTATTTCGGGGTTATTGAAGTGGAACTGCATAGGTTATTTCGGAGTTGTTGAAGTGGAATATATGAGCTTCTCTTCAATAACACCGAAATAATCTCCACTGTTCTACTTCAATAACCCCAAAATAATCTCTGCGATGTAGCACACGTCATGACATATTATTGGAGTCCGCACGTAGGCTACGTCCGGAGATCGAACAGAGGTCCAGTGAACAAGCGGTGTCCACAAGGGCTCTAATCACGTATGCAAGGAGGAGAGATTAGATGGGGGGGAGTTTGGGTGGAATGTTTGAAGTGTTGTGAAAGGATTATATAAATGTTAATAACATAGGATTTGTTTTTTTAATGCATGTTTTGTTAGCTGCAAGTTTTTTTTCTTCCTACGGTATTCCTAACAACATTTAGGGTTATGGGAGAGACGATCTACCTCTCAAACAGTATATCATCATTATATCTTGCTTTTTTCCATTGGTTTTCATATAGCGACCATCGTTTGAGTTTTTCCACCTATCAGTTGCAATTTTGTTTGCTTGCTATTTTTGGTTTCGGAGGTATCAATATCCTTCTTGTGGATAAGATTATAGAAAGAGTTTAGGAAAAACATGAACCACGAAGGACAATTTTAGAGTCTAAAGGCTTTCGTTTGAGTAGATCTAAAACTGAATACATGGAATGTAATTTTAGTAATAGTAGATATAGTGGCAAAATTGTAATAATGGGTCATCAAACCATCAAAAAGAGCGAACATTTTACATATCTCGGGTCTAGGGTTTAAATATAGATGGGGATGTTACTAGTAGAATTCAAGTTAGATGATGAAGTGAAGGACTGCACCGAGTCTATTGTGTGACAGAAAAGTATCGCTTAAATTTAAAAGGAAATTTTATAAGATAGCAGTGAGACCACCAATGCTTTATGGAGTGGAATGTTGACCTACAAAAGAGTAGCATAAAATTAAGTTGTGTTGCTGAGATGAGAATGCTTAGATGGATTAGTGGTTTTACACATATAAACAAATTGCAAAACAAATATAATTGTGAAAGGGTTGGTAAAGCTCCGATGATAAACATTATTAAAGAGAGCCGCATTAAATGGTTTGGTAACATTAAAAGTCGACCATCTAATGACCATGTTAGGAGAATAGATGTTTTCGATTTGACTTATGCTACGAAAGGTTGACGTAGACTTAATCTTAATTTATTAGAATTAAATGAAAATATGACACCCAATAGGACACAATGGAGAAAAGAATTCATGTAGCCAACCCCAATTAGTGGGATAAAGACTTGTTGTTGTTACTGTAGTTGGCCACATTCCATCGCTTTCTCACCTAGGGATAAACCAATTTCTAAAGGGTCATTTTGTAGCTTAAAGTTTGAAAACATGTTTTAAAAATCAATAAGGTTTGTCTGATTCACTACTTGGTTGAATGTAGTTAGAGGCCAGTATTGATTTCAAACATCATCAACTTACTCCAGTTTTTTCAAATGCGATGATTTAAAGTTCACACTTACATTGAAAAAAAAAAAAAAAAAACTCCATTTTTTAAAATCGCTATATAAATACATGCAATAAAATGAGCTCTGTCCATGTTTTATCTAGGAAAGAGTTAATTTATTATCAGGTTAAAGAACTTTCAGACTATAAGATAGTAAACCTTACCACTTGACAAGCGAACGGTAGCATTTTCTCAGGAGGCATTCCTGCACATAAAGCTGGAAGGAGAGATAAAGTAAGTTCAAATAACATCAAAATCTTTTAATTATGTGTATTTTTTAAGGAAAAAACAGAACAAAATGGAACAGAAAGTAAAACAGCAGTCTAAGAGATGATTAACATATCTTCTATTATTTATATTTTGTTGATTATGTGAACTCAAGGCATAATAATCAGTGATAGCAAAGATAGAACGCCCAACAAAGAAATTCTTAGAATAATGCAATTTCTGCTGCGTTTGAATGAGCTCATTGCCACTATCAATAAAGAGGAAAGAAAAACAAATAAAGCAGAAACTGCCCAAAAAGCAAATATTTAATAAATGAGCAACCATTAAAATGCCTTGTTAAATGAAATGAAATGGTTAAACAAACAAGAATGAGAAGGCTATCATTTTAAGATAACTTACCAGTAAAATCTATAACCAATTTACTATTTTCCGTTGACATATCTTCTAGAATAATCTTCTACTAGCTATATATAGAGGTTGCAAGTCTTGTAAGCTTATGTTGGAAAAAACTGTATGCTTTATCATATATGCGATTCCTGTTTTCCTTCCCCTGCTTCCGCTTACGATTTTCTCTACTCTTCTGTATTCTAGTTACTTTAAAAACCAGCTGATGGCAATCCAATTTTATTAATGGAATGAACGAGAACCACAACATATAGGTCGATCTCATTTGAAGAACCGAAGGTTCCCTCGATATTGTTTTAGTTAAGGGTGTAAACGAGCCGAACACGAGCTCGTGTTGGGCTCGTTTATATTTCGAGCTCAAAAAGTGTGTTCTCGCGGGGGAGGCCGACGGGGGAGCCGTTCACAAACAAAGAGTCATTTTGACAACCCTAATCACGTAGCCATAAGATTTTAAGATTGGCGTAAGATTTAAAACATCATTTAAATCTAATATTATAATTTTTATTCTATTTTCTTAATTAATACTTTTAGTTGATTATAAATCTTTGGAGCCTTGTAGTCAATTAATTTTTTTTAAAATACTATTCATCAAAGACACACACACACACACACACACACACACACACACACACAC